GATTTAGAATAGTAAATGAGCTGTTTTGATACCTTGAACTGTATTATGTTTTTTATCCTAAATCTTCAGAACACCTCATAGCCCTGAATCATCATGCCTAAAATTATTCCTTGACAGATTTTGGCCATTTTTCATAATAAATACATATTAAAATGAAATGTATTCCTTAAAACAGCCTTCCTCTTTCTCCCTCCTCCTTTCCTGGGAACACTGATATTTTAGAAATTGTTCAATTTAGGAGACAGAGTTTTAGAGATCATTTAATTTAGGAGACAGAGACAATTTAGGAGACAGACAGTTTCCCACACGGCTTGCTGTTAATTTTTTTCTCCTCCTTCCATCCTCAGCAAACAACAAAAATGTACAGTCATCAGGGAACAGTGGTCATTACTAATCAGAACTTAATTTACTCTCGATCCCTGAGTAAAAGGGAGATGCATCGTTCAGAGGGAAGCTGGTAAAAGCTAGGAAGCTGGAGTGACCTGAAATTTTTAATATCTACCAAGCTACAGGCTCCCCAGGGCTACAAATGAAGATGGATATATATGGTAGCTTATGTACATCATTGAGCATTCTAAAACAAATTTAAAGAATGAGTTGACTTGGGGTAGCAGATAGTTTCCAATTGGCCCAGAAAATTGACCAATGAGGAGAAAAAATATCACCCGTTCTACAGCTTGGTTATGTTACCCACCAAGATCTGAGCCTTGTCACTCAAAGACTGCCAAGTGGTAACAATATCCAACTGGTGACAATATCCAGGAGAAATGTGGAGACAGTTTATTGACTTAGAAGAAGCTTAAAGTACTCAAGTAAGCAGACTCCACTGTGACAGTTTTAAGAAATGTTTGCACATTCTTTGACACTTTTCCCATCAAAAGGAGGGGTCTATGTTCTCTTTCTTAAATCCAGTCTAATCTAGTGACTCTTATAACCAACAAAATGCAGCAGAAGTGACTTCTGTGTCTAGGTCAGAAAATGTCATGCAGCTTCCACCTGGTTCTCTTGGGATATACACTCTGTGGGAAGTTAGTCGGTGCAAAAAATCTAATACCTGAGAAACCCATAATAAAAAGACCACAGGTAGGTATCAGCATTGAAAGGTCCAGATGAGCTACCAGCCAACAACCAAGATAAACTGCCAGTAATGAGAGTTAGTCATTTTGATCATCCTGCTCAGTCAAGCCTTCAGACAACTGTGGCCACAGCCAGCATGTGAATACAACCTTCATGAGAAACCTTCAATAATTAAAATTCACCAAAATGCATCCCACATCTGCATACCAAATGCAGTTAATAAGGATAATTCCATTTGTTGTTGAATCTTTCTTAAAAACCTGCCAGTGTCAATATTGTAAGGGGTGCATGAATACATCCCCCGAGCCAAAGCTGAACAAAGTCAAAGCCTATACATCGTAAAATATTCGGTCGACATTTCTGAATTACTAGACAATTCTAAGTAATTCATTCAGTGTAAGAGGGCCATCAGAGTTCAGGACAGAAGAATCAAACTTCATATTCTGAATGCATTTGACATATATGGCTGTATGTCTTAGAATTTCTGATAAATGCATTTATCCCCTATGAAAATGTTTATTGGAAAGCTAATGAAGTAGGTCTATTTCATATTTCTTGTATGACTTTCTTTGAACTTAACGCTTGCAGAAACACACCAGGATAAAAGATAAAAGCTGCTTCTAATTTGAAACAAAACACCTAACAGAATTTAGTAATATTAATTAAAAATGAACTCAGAATGATAGTGATTGTAACAAAACAGAATGATTGTTTCTTTCTTGCTTCTTCCACAAAAATATATTGCCATTCTTGCCTATTTTTTCTCTTTTAAAAAATACCAGAGCATAAGGAAGCAGATTTTAATGCAGCAGAGACTAAATCACATATCATATATTTTCTGGCAGTACCCATAACAAAATTTCCACAAAGGCATTAAAAAATCAAAATACCCAGTGAAAATACAAAATTAAACTGAATGGTGGGCTGAAGAAATTTTATAATTGTCTTATTTTTCTCCAAAGGCATAGTAAATGTAGAAATGTATGTTCCAAGTAAACTTGGAATTGGGTTGAGAACAAATGAATAAATGTAGGGTAATCAAAAAAGCGGGAACTGAGCTCCTAATTTATTACTCTGAGATGGCTGGGTGTGACATAGATTCAATCTTGTGCCTTTTACCATAGGAAATAGTAGTTTCAGCACATCTGGAAAATATTAACATTCGTATTATGGCCAGAGCCTACCTAATTAAGATGATATTTCCCAAGACTTTGGAATAATGAGTCACATTGGCATCTGAATTATAATGGATATTCAGTAGAATATAACTTTAGTCTATTCTTCCTTACTCTTTTTCTGACACTAAACATGGGCCTGTGGTCTATGTCTCCACTTAACTGACTGCAGGCATACTTTCCGATTAAATTTAGAGATAAATTAAAACCCATTGACGCTGAGTTGATTCCAACTCAT